AGTCAGACGGAGCCCAGGCTCCTGTGTGGCCTGGCCCAGCCCTGGTGGTTGCAGCCATTTGGGAAGTGAACCAGCTGATGGAAGACCTCTCTGTCTCTCCCTGTAACTCTGTCTCTTGAATAAATGAATGAGAGAGAGAGAAGAGGAGAGGAGAGGAGAGGAGAGGGGAGGGGAGGGGAGGGGAGAGGAGAGGAGAGAAGAGGAGAGCAACCAAGCAGACTGAGAGGAGAGAGAGAGAGAGGAGAGAGAGAGAGGAGAGAAAGAGACCAAGCAGACTGAGAGGAGACAGAGAGAGAGAGAGGAGGGAGAGAGAGGGAGAGAGAGAGAGAGAGAGACTAAGCCGACTGGCCCTGGCTGGGGGTGGAGTCGGGGAGGCCCCTCTAGCACACCTCTTCAGTCCCACTCTGCCAGTCACTCTTGGCACGGGAGAACGACCTACAAGGTCACAGGCTGCTGCCACGGCTGGGTGGTTGGTAGTTCTGAGCCCCCCACAGGCCCGAGAATTGACGGGTGGTGACTGGCAGGGGCCTGGGGCAGAGTGCCCTTGGAGGCAGTCCTGGGGGGGCTGGGCACCCAGCTGTCTCTGCTTCCTGGCTCGCGCCTGCCTCCCCTGAGCAGCCCAGGCCGTGGGGCTGGCGAGCCAAGGTACAGCCTGCTCTCCTCATCAGCTCTCTCAGGCAGTCCACTTCCGCACTGACCCGGAGCCAGGCCCGCCCGAGCGCCGCCGCCTCCCGCGCCTCCTTCAGAACCCACCCCTGGAGGAGTCTAGGGAGCAGGAACCCGGGCGGGGAGCTCAGGTGGGGCCAGCGGTGAGCCGGGCAGACCTCGGTTCCAGAGACGCCGGGCAGTCAGACGACACAGCACACAGGTCCAGTTTGCAAATCAAAGAAGTTTTATATGATTCCAAGAAAAAAGTGACATTACACATACCCATTTAAATAATAAGCCTGTTACATAAAACGTAATTATGGAAGTCTACACTTTAGTATCGAAACCAATTAAAAGGCTCAAAGTCAAAAACGATCAGCACAATTGCTCCCGCGATAAAGTGCATGAGGGGGACCGCCTGTGGCGCCCGGCTCCAGCCCCCACGGCCCGCAGCCGAGGCGCCGGCCGCACGACGGGGCTCTGGTTCGCAGAAGAATACCTTCAGCCAGGAACCGCTTTCCAACTCAGACTCTTTCCACAGACAAACGGGGGTGCGGGGGGGGGCAAGGACAGTGACATAGTGACAGGGACACAGACGTCACTGAGTCTCCTCAGGAAACGGAGCTTACGTCAAAACCATCCCACAGAATGCAGAGACAACACCGGCCGGGATGACGTCTATGCGACAGGCAGCCACTCAGACCGTGAGTTATCCACCAGGACACCAGGACTGACCGCACACAGCAAGGCATCAAATTTAACGCCACTTGTGACATACGCGTTGTCAAAGACGTTTATGCTGACTTTTAAGGAGTCGGACAAAGGCTTGGGGCAGCAGGGCAAACACGAGCTATGTACAGTCACGGGGCGCCTGCAACTGTGCGCGTCTCAGACAACAGGACATGCAACCAGAAACGTGGACTCCCAGAACACACCCACCCACGCACGGGCATCTCAGAGCAGCTGCTATTAGAGGGGCAATAACACGCGGGGCGTGGAGAGGGCGGGATCAGACCGCGGAGACCTGAACACGAAGCCCAGTGACTCAACAGTCCAGGTGGAAGCTCAGCACGGCACACAGCACCCTCAGGCCGCCGAGGCAGGGCAACGTTCCCGATGTTTCTGCATTTGCTCTGTTGCCAGAAAGCCCACTGTGCAGCGACAGCCGGGTCGGCGGCCCCGGGGAGGCCAGCCTGGTATTTCCAGGGCACGCGCTCAGACACCTGCACAGCGGCGCCCAGGGCCTCCCTTCTGGGGGGCTGCAGAACAGCCCACGCCGAGCGGTGTTCCGTCTGACCCGCCTCCCTCACAGAGAACGCAGGGCAGCCACTGCTACAGCCTCCTTCCCACAGTTTCTCCCGCTGAACAGAGGCGCCAGAGCCTCAGAGCTGTCTGCCCGCTCATCTCAGCGGGCGCCCTCCGCGGAGAGTTCACCCGGCGGCACACACGCTTCCTCGTTCTCCGCCACGCATGATCCGGGACAGGTAAGGCCACGCTGAAGGAAGTCAGCTGATGATCAACGGAGCAGCTGGGTTTCAGGGTCGCCATCCTCTTTGTGGCACCCCAGGTACTAACAGGACACGGCGCGGGCCCAGGAGGCGCACGCACGCACGCCGAGAGCCTCGGGTGCAGGCCAGCGGCTCGCGGGCAGCCTGCCCAGCACGTCCTTGGGAGCCACAGGGGCCCGGGTCTGGTCACCAGGCATGGCCGCCTGGAATTCCGCTTGGAAAGATTATGGGAAACTGAATGCAATTTTTTATTCAATCAGTTCTGATTCCAACAACTCTTCGATCTAGAAAGCCCAGTAACAACCTTTTTTTTTGAATAATGTGCCGAGTTTACTAAAAAGCAGGGTCATTACAAAAACTTCTTATTAAACACTGAAAACAAGGCTGTAAAATCATCTACCTAGGAACTGGTAATTTGAGCACCAACAATATAAATATTTTTATAAAAAGCAGTATAAAATTAGTACCCTGTCTCGCTTCTACAAAACATGAATAGAAAGGTTGTAAAAATCCAGATTTTGTAAACTTTATTGCCGAAATGTTTGTCTGAATGCTGGTGACTTAAATTATAAAATTTTCTTCCATTTCCTTAAAAAAAAAAAAAAAAAAAAACCTTCAGAAACTACAAAAGATACTGAACAGGGTCTCACCCAGAAAAGCAACGTTGACGCACGCTCCAGAGAACCAGCCCCCCGTCCTCCCGCAGTCCAGGGCCTCCTCTGGGGACAGGAGCCCGACCCTCAGGCGGAGGCCGGCACGGGCGTGGGGGCTCCCGGGCTCGCGGGGCTCTCTGCCGCGGCGACTCTGTTCAGTCTGCCGACCTCGGCCTGCCAGCCGGGGGCCTTCTTGGCGGTCATGTGGCGCCGGGCGTGCTTCGTCAGGTGGTCGCTGCGCATGAAGCGCCGCTCACACACGGGGCACACGAACTTCTTCTCTCCCGTGTGGGTCCTGCGGTGGCGGGACAGCTCGTCGGAGCGGGCGAACTTCTTCTCACAGCCGTCCCAGCTGCAGGCGAACGGCTTCTCCCCTGGGAGGCGAGAAGACACACGACGCTCAGCACCTCCCGGATCGCCTCATTTCAGCCTCTGCCCAGCGGAGCCTCAGAAGGAAGTGCCGCCTAGAACTCGGACTGCTGACAAAGCCAGCCAGCCTCCGAGACGCAGCCAGGTGCAGCGCCAGGGCCAGAGAGGCCACCAGCCTCATGTTAGGAAGGGATCGCCAGTGAAGATACATCTCCCGGAACTGCGGCGGGGTGTTCTCGAGGGGGCAGTGCCCGTCCCTGCAGGAGGAACCACGCTTCCAGAAAGTTCTCCCGGGACTGCCACGACCACCACCTCCGCAGTTCCTACTTCACTGGCAAACAGATCGGTTACAAAACAGAGGGCTCAGAAATCAAAGCGCCGGGGCGGCGCTGCGGTGCGCAGGTTAAGCCATCACTCGGGGCGCCGGCACTGCCAGTCAGACCGCCAGTCCCCGTCCTGGCTGTGCGCTTCCCATCCAGCTCCCTGCTGACGTGCCCATGAGAGTGCTGGGCCCTGCCAGCCACGTGCCAGACCCGCACAGAGCCCCGGGCTCCTGGTGTCAGCCTGGACCACTCCGGACTGCTGCCGCCCTTTGGGGAGTGAAGCAGAGGGATGAGCTCTGTCTCTCCCCCTCTCTGTCGCTCAGTCTTGCAAACAAATACATCTTGAAGAGAACAGCCACTGTCAGGACTTCGCTTCTGTCTAACAGAGTCACCAAGACAAGCTACTTCTAAAGGAAGGACTGCTCAGCTCATGGTTTGGAAGTTCACGATGCGAGGGCAGAGAATTCGGACTGATTTTCACTCTCTTAGCAGCACTGACTCCGGGCAGCAAACATGTAACCCGTGGCCTCCGGGACACCTCCAACATCCCACTAATACCCAACACCCTCTCGTGACACGCCTTAAGCATGTCTGTCACTCACTCAAAGTTTCGGAGCATCAGGGACGTACCCCACGTGTGTCCTCCTGGAGGTACGGGGGTGAGCAGAGGGCCTTCCCCACAGAGGCCGGGGGCTCCCCCCCAGCAGAGCTCTCGGGGCCCCTCTGCGCAGCAGGAGCACACCCCTTCTCTCACCAGGCTGGGAAACACACAGTGCACGCGTGACCACTGACTTGTTAAACGCTGTTCTAGGACGCGTCTTCCCTGGATCATGACCGATTCAGCCATCTCCATCTTCACACAGTTAAGCTGTTGGCACAGCACTTTGTCCAGCAGGTGGCACATAAACGGTTTCAATCAACGAGTGAAATCCACAACTCTCAGAGGTGAATTAACAGGAAGACTCGGTACTATGATGAATCAGACAAGCAGCACGGGCTACGAAGGCCCTGTGTGTAAGCACCAGGCTCTGCCAGGGCCTGAGCACGCCGCCCGCAGCTCACACGCCGCAGGCTTAGCCCCCGAGGTCTATGCTAGTGGCATGTGAGAGCTGGGCCTTTAGAAACGACTGCGTCAAGGCCCTGCCCTGACGGATGGACTCCGAGGTTATGGAGGCGGGGGCTTTGACATAAAGGCAGCTGCCTCAGGTGTGACGACACAAGGAAGCCCCCCCCACACAGATCCTAGGCAGATGCCAGCCTCCAGGACTGGGCACTAAATAAACCTCATTCTTGATAAATTACGACAGCAACAGCAGCCAGGAGTGCTGCCCTACTGCCTCGTGGACGCCCTGGGGCTGGACACACCAACAGGCCTCTGGCGCCGGATCTGTGCAGTTCCCTACCTGTCAGCAACACATCAAACACACACCATCCATCCACTCCACTGACCCCAATTTAAACATTTTTCAGACTGGTAGAAATATGTGAAAAGTGATTTTGTCCAGGGTAAACTATTTCTCGAACTCCAACTGTTTACTAAGTGGCACGAGGGTACGTTTCACAACTTCACGGCTATTTCAGCTGGAGTGCTGAGGTTAGCAGGAGAGGAGCCCGTTCTGATCAGATGCTTGATTTGATCAACACCCCAGGGAAGCTGGCTGGAGAAGCCGGGACGCCTCCTTCAGCCCCTGCCTCCACCTGGAATCTGCGCTCTGGTGGGATCTGAAGCCCCCTGTGCCGCTGGTGTCAGGGCCTCGCGCCCACGACAGCAGAGCCCCGCCCACTGCGACCAGGCCAGCCACCCCCATCTCACACAGGACGCAGCCCCCACTGACCAGCATCAGGCCCGAGTGTGAGACACGAGGGATTCACACTCGGGGGACAGAGGACAAGCACACAGCAAGTAAAGAGCAGAGAGACAGACAGCAGCCTACGAGGGTCAGGGACCGGAGGAAGAGAGCGACACTCTGAGAACTGGTTCTGGCGGCCCTGGGAGGGCTCCCAGACAGTGAGGCGGCCGCACAGCGAGGAGGGCCCTGGCGGCCCGTCTTCTTCAATGGGCCAGCACCAGGGCCTGGGCCTCACGCACGGCCGCCGGCAGTACAGGGAAACAGCACGTTCCTTCCCACCTCCCTCCTGTGGAACCTCTGACCTGTCACGGTGACACCGTGGAGTGAGCAGACTGCTCAACTGTAGGGTCCTTTAAAGCCACGCAACACAACGCAACTCACAGGCAGGCCGCCCTAAACCTCGCCCTCCACCCCTGCTCCTCTGCCTGCAGCACGCAGGCCTCCGCCCATCAGCGTCCCGGACACAACCCCGAGGCGCTGTTCAAATGTAAACTTCAAAGAATGGCAAAGCCCAGCTCAGTTCCCCAACACTAGCCCGGGCTCCAGCGCCTGCGGCCAGTGGCCACTCCCTGGACGGCCGGCCGAGAGGGTGTTTCTACACACAGCTGTCTGCACAATAAAGCCAGCAATCCCCAGATCTTTAAGAGTGGCTGAGATTTCTCCCTTCTAAATTGAACACTTCCTCCTCAAAAGAACGAACTATTTGTCTAGAACATCGCCGAGTTCGACGTCTACAGTCTGGACAGAGCCTGCCCACCAGCCACCCAACAGGCATTTCAGTGAGCGCCACCGTGCATGTCCTAGCACGCAAAGCAGCATGGGTGTTTCCTGCAACACGGAAGTGGGCACCGCGACCCCCCGGAGGGCTATGGGAGGCCCACCATGCAGACGCCCGTGCCCTCGCCCCGCTCTGCAGGAAAACCGGACGGCTGTGCCGAGACCGCGGGCGTTTCGGGACCTCAGGAAAAGAGCTCAGGGCGCCCCCCCGCCCGGGCGTACCTGTGTGAGTGCGCAGATGAGCCTTGAGGTGGGAACTTTTGAAGTAGGTCTTCCGGCAGCCTGGGAAGTTGCACACGTAGTTCCTCCTTCGAGAAAAGTCTACCTGAGGGGCGCAGTTTTGGCTGGAGGTGATGAACACTGGGGCGGGCGCGAGAGGCAGCAGCTTGGTGCTGCCGACAGCCACGACGCTGGACGTGCAGGAGGCGGGCTGGGGCAGGGCGCCCGGGGGCAGGACCAGCATCACGGCTCCCTGAGGCACGGGCGGGCCCACGAACACGGGCGGGGGCGCGGGGGCCGCCTGGGGGAGGATGGGCTTGACAGTCCCCGAAGACAACTGCGGGGCGGGGTTCAGAAAAGCTGAGAACGTGCCACTCGGTCCCGTCACAGGGACCATCTGGCAAAGGACAGGGGGGCTGGGGACAGAGACGGCAACCACAGGCGTGGCTTTCCGTGGCAAGTCATTTTCCGGATTCTTTGGTGAGCACCCTGCCTGCTGGCCTCCGCCGGTGGCCAGGGAGCCACCGGACTTGTGCAAGCGAGGCTCGCAGGACGCCGAGGTAGGGCTGAGCGGAGTGCCGGCGAGGCCGGGGTCTTGCAAAGCCTCCAAATGTCCCAGAGGCTGTGCCCCTCCTTGTCTCCTGTGGGAAAGCTGCTGTTCTCGGGCGTGCGCGGCGCAGTGCGCAGGGGCAGGGCTCTCTCCAGTGTGGCGGATCACGCTCGTCACCACGGCTCTGCAGGGGACGCCAGGGGCGGGCTCCGCAGGTTCTGGCCGCAGGCCTGGCAAGCCCCCCTCCGCAGCCCTGCCCAGCACTCTGGCTGCCGCAGCAGAGGATGGCGGGACGGCCATGACTGCGCATGCTTGGGAAGGAACAGGTGTCCGGGCGGATGGCTCCACAAGATCCGGGCTCTGAGGAGGCGTCATGCACTTAAAAAAAAAAAAAAATAGTACCGTATGGAAAGGTTGTTTGGATTAAATATATTTTTTAAAGATTTAATTACTTGAGAGGCAGAGTTACAGAGAGAGAGAGAGAGATCTTCCATCCACTGGTTCAACCCCCAAATGGCTACCAGTGCCGGAGCTGTGCCGATCTGAAGCCAGGAGCCAGGAGCTTCTTCTGGGTCTCCCATGCGGGTGCAGGGGCCCAAGACTTGGGCCATCCTCCACTGCTTTGCTTGGGGTAACTTTTCAAAGGGATTTATTTGACCCTGTTGCTCCAGGAGGCTGGTCCGGGCCTGCTCGGCGCCCCAGGCCCTCAGGGCTGCAGAGGCACGCGCTCTCAGCCCCTCCCATCTTGCTGGCCCCTCCCAGACCCGTGCTCGCGCTGGTTGTGAGGCTGTCGGCGCGGCTCCTGCACCGCACAGCACCCACACGAGCGACTGACGCACTCGGACTCCAAGGGGAAGCACATTTTACTACAAAATGAACGCTTTTCACAGTCCTGCGGGTTCTGAACACCCAACACAGCCCCAGCTCATCAGTGCACGGTCACTGACCGCCAGAACCGCACCTGGCTTTTCGCTCCCACCAAAAATTCTCACTACCGTCAGGAGGGCCAGGGCTGCCACAGCCCCCTCCACCACCAAGTCCAGCCCGGGACAATCACACCACAGGGTCCTGCCTGCTGGCAGCCCACGCACTCAGCTTCTCCCGGCTGCAGCAAGGCAAAAGGCAAAAGCAAACACCAAGAGCCACGACTCACTGCGCCAAGCTCACGCAAGAAGCTGGCCATGGCACAGAGGCCAAGGTGCCAGAGCAGGCTGCCTGAAGGCAAACCCAGCCCAGCTCTCTCCAGCTGCCGCTGCGCACCCCGGGCCTGCGCCGCGTGGCGGGGCGGCCCTTGCTCGGCACCGCAGGGCTCCCCGGGAGAGGAGGGACGCCGCTTTCTCCCGTCTGCCTGAGGCTGCATCGCATGGCGGGCGAGCGGGGACCCTCCCGCATCCCTCCACACCCACAGGGAGCATGCACCTGCCCTGCAGCCCCCAGCGCCTCAGCACGCTTACCGAGCCGTCCCGGTCATTCCACACCCACCACACCCACGCCGCTCTGCCCCGCCTCTTACCAGGGTGGACAGAGAGTGGAAGTCCTTTGGTAGCTCGGGTGTGGCCGTGTGCACGCGCACCGCGGTGGGGACGTCCCCAGCGTCCGAGACGGGTGTGAGGGGCCTGACCTTTACCAGGTCCCCGTCCTGGGACCTTTGGCCCCAGGCGCTCATGCAGACCAGGGCCTCCACGGCTTCGATGTCCGTCTGTCCCCAGACGCCGCCCGTGGACCTCTCGCTGTCATGCCGCTTCCGCTCCAGGATCGACTCACAGATGTCCATGATGTCCACCTAAGGCCGCACGAGACAAGGGCTTATCGGTCAGGGGCAAAGCCGGGAGGGAGACCCGCTCCGGCCAGCTGGAAAGGCACACCGGGACCTGCCATGCACGCGACACTCCACACGCAGCTCCGAGTCCCGGGGCAGACGCTAGCTAATGGACGCTCATGACAACTCGGCTCCGGAGCCAACCGCGAGCCCGCAATTTCCACCGAAACCCCGACTCCTAAAAAAGGCTGCGAAGCCCACGTTTTGTCTTGGGTAAATGATTAATTTACCCAAGTGGCTGGGAAGGCCCCCCCCCCCAGCTGTCCAGCCCTCAGCCGCGGGACCAAGCCCCCGCCGGCTCCTCTGCAGACACCAAGCCTTGCAGTCCCTTGTTCCAGCCCCGAGGCTTGCTGGGATGAGAGGAAGAAGCCAGCCGGGGCGAGGGGAGCAGGGAAGCCACGGGGACACTGACCGATCTGCTCCCAGGACTTGCAGATCTGCAGACACACAGCTCCCCGCGCTCTGCCGAGGACCGCCCGAGCAAACAGGTGACGCACCCTGCCCCGTCCAGCCGCCCTGGCCGCCTGGGTCCGGCGGCTGCTCCCCCAGCCCAACACGCCCGCACCTCCCGACCAGCAAGGCCTGCACCCGAGAGCACCTTCTAGAGCTCTTCATACCGGCCACACATATTTTGGACTTTTGGTAGAACCCTCCCGTTGAGAACCTATGAAATGTGCAGTGATTAATGAGTTCTGCTCTCCGAATCCACCTCCTCTTACTACCTGA